AGCAATATCACCTTTGTATTTCTCTGTCTCTCACTCTGGGCCTTGTGCCTAGGAATAAATGTTTGTTGGAGTTGTCAAATTCACCGGACCAAACATGATAATTTAGATGATGGGATGGAAATAAAATGTCCCCAGATTGTTTCTCTTGGTAATTCTTATATCTATTTTTTCTGTATATAGTGAATTTTGTCATATGTAAATTGTACCTCAATAATTTGGGAATCACGTAGAGAAAATTGTCCATTTTCTGAGAAGGGTCCCTACTGCCAGTAGCTGGATTCTACATCAAACATGGAGGATCACTAATTAGGGTCATTTGTTCTACTGTGAGCTGAGGAGACTATGCACAGCCTGCTCAGGAGAGAATTAATTCATTCTCCTCTCTGTACTTTCTCAAGTACTCCTAGCAGATCCTCCAAGCCTGCAGGCCTCATGCATATGTTCTAATGGGCTAATTGTTAAGGCGACATTTGTAAATTAATCTCTGACTTGAGCTAAGTGGTTTCCCCTAATGGCTTTAATTCAGCAACTCCCACTCTTGGCCACGTGTCAGATTTCTGGAAGAGCCTGTTAAAAATAGAGGTGCCCAGCTTCCCCTCCCCCATTGGTGGCTGCCTGGTCCAGGGTGGGAAGAAGGCATCTCTGCTTTTTAAGAAAAATTCTCCAGGTGATAGGATTCTGGTGTCAGCCACCTCTGTGTCTGTCTCAAATCCATCTCTGAAGGCTGTGTAGCTAGCTTCACATGCTAGTTGAAAACATTTGGGCCTCAACCTGGCAACTGGAATCCAGGTTCTAGAATGGGTGAAGTCTCTTCTCTAATGAAACACCTTCCCTGACTCAGGCCCCTTTGTAGTCACATCACTGAATCTGCCTTTTCCCAGGAACTCGGGGAACTGAGGGGAACTATTCCCTACTTGGCTATACTAGTTTTCATTTCTGTAAAATTTCTCAGGCTTTTGGAAGGTCTTTATGGCCTGCTAGAGTTTCCATTTTGGAAGATGGTTGTGAAACTACCTCTCAATTACCATCAGATTCCCTCCTTTGTTGTGGTGTTGTTGTTTTAAATCACTGTGTGGGTTCATGGTGTTCTGTGTAAATGTTTCATGCTTCATCTTGGAGTTAGGAAAATTGATGACTCTCTTTCTGTGTTATGACTTTATATGCTATTGCTCTAATAACATTGATCAAATGGCTTTTGTGTTTTGGAGTCTCACACTCTGGAAATATCACCTAGTATTCAGCATCACCAGGTAGCATGTGGGTATTTTCAGTAAATCTAAGAATATGGTAGGCAGTACCATGCAAGGGAGACAAGGTGATTTGGAGCGTCCAGTCTATGGGAAGTGGGAAATGCTGGACAGGCTCTGGAAAGCAGAAGTTGTGCTGTGACTGCTGATGTTAGGTGATCTCCTGTACGAGGCTCCTGCCTACAAGTCTAGGTCTGGGACCTGCTTCATAAAGTGCTTGGTCTTCGTGAGGATTTTTCTGTGACTCAGCTGTTGGAGGCCATGCGTGTTTTGCTCTCTTAGGTACTGTGCTTTTTTGACCTCATTTTACCATGTCCCTACCCCTGGGACTAAAGGAATACACGGAGGGATCTCCAATGGCCCTACCCTTTTCAAAGGCATCTTGGAGTAAGCATAACTTGTTCAAAGAAAAGACACTTTAAGAATGAAGAGCTATTAGTCTGGTGTGGTGGTGTAGGCCTGTGATCCCAGTGATTGGGGAAGCTGAGGCAGGAGGGTCGCAAGTTCAAGGTCAGCYTGGGCAAATTAGAGAAAAATTGTCTCAAAATCAAAAGAAAGGAGAGAAGGAAGGAACTGAATCTTAATCTGGTTCAATTTCCAGTTCCCTAAAAAGAAAAAAAAAAAAAAAAGGAAGCATGAAATGATAGCAAGACAAGATACCCTGTAGTACTTACACTTCTCCAACTYGGTTTATTAATGATCTATATAGTTACTATCTTACTATAAATTGACTATACCTATACTGAACATTTACCACTAATCGAGTAATAGCATAGAATTTATCTGTATAAGGACTACTCTGTAAAGAGTACATTTTATAACTCCAAGTGGACTTCAGTCTTTTGTTTCTCTGGACCTATGCATAGTATATGTTAAATAAGTACTTACTATTTGGAGGCTTTATATAACATAATTATTATCATTTAGAAGAAGATTTAATCATTTTGTATTCTTTTTTTCCTCTCTTTCTTTCTTTTAATTTACAACAGGGGTCTCAGACAATGAGAATTTGTTAAAGGGAGAGAGAAAGAATGAACTAGACCTTCTGGGTGGCTGAGGAAGAAAGTCCAGTCTCTTCTGGTTCTATTTTCCTGAACAAATTCAAAGGGTTAATGTCTTCCTGCAGCACCTGGATTCAGGTTGACAATGTCATCAATGACATGATCAAGAGGTATTGAGAGAGTTTCAAGATGCCATGCACATTTACCTTTATTGGTCAGTTCATGCATGGAGATAGCTGCTGATGGATCATGGTGAGTGGGACAGTTTGACTTCTCTGGACCTCACCAAGAGCAAGCCTTCTGGCTGAACACATGGTCCCCGGCATAGTCCATGAAACAGAAAGAAAGAAGGTTCAGTGCCTTGGAGCTATGGAGGTCATTTCCATCCCGTGTTTTTTTCCCTCTCTCTCTCTCTCTCTCTCTCTCTCTCTCTCTCAGAGATGCTGATACTTGAGAGCAGCAGGATCCCCACCCCCTTGTTACTGTCTGATTTGCTTAAATAAGCAACACGTTAATTCCCATCACAGATACCACATGGAGGCAGCTGGTATGCACTAGTTACTTTGGCCATCCTGATGCTGGGAAAGAGCTATTGCAGAAGGGTTAGATTTTAATTCCTTATAGAACTATGTAGATGCCATCTGCAAGGACTTTTGCTTTCCTTTCCTGCAACTATGGCTTTTAGTGGCTTAGGACCATCTAGCTAGCTCTGACAGAAGCTCAGTATTCAGGGACACACAGGGAACCAGATCAACAGGGATTAGTCTGGGATCCAGTGTTTATGAATGAAAAGGCCCTTCCCCCTTTGTTTTGGCCACACCCCTTCCCTTTGCAGCTTTTTGAGAATGAGGTCAGGGCCAGGATCTAAGTGCTTATGTCACAGAAATAGCAATGCAGCTCCAAATTAATCTTCAGCTTATATTATGCTGCCTCCTTCAGATAATAGAGGATAAAGCGGAGGCCTGTGTATGTTTTATTTTCACATCTACCTTTGCAAGGAATATATGAATGAATGCGTGTGAGGGGGAAGAGGGAGACAGGCCAGCCCAGAGAGATTCTGCTGGGGAGCTGGTAATTACTGAGAAACTGCAGGAGTTTGCTTGGATTCAACTGGAGCATGTTTTGGTTTTCAAAACAAAATGGAAGAATGAAATAAACCCCGGTGGTGTATTGTTTTTAACACTTTCTTTCATAAGGAAATTTTAGCAGTTGCTATGAAGCTGCATGTTACCTTCACAGTGTCCAGTTATTTTGTCGTTTTTTCATAGTGTGTAGAGACCAGCAGTCCTCCCCAGGAGCTCCTTGTAGGTTTGCAGCAGTTCAAATGAGACTCTTATGCAGATTCCATTTTCCATCACTGGCCAACTTTGGTATGCACACACAAAATGCAGGTTATGTGTGATTTTCTTTCTTATATACACATGCACACACACACACACACACACACACACACATGCGCACGAAGAGCTTGATCATGGCTAGTCTTTCCATGAATTGAGATTCATCTCTCTTCATCAGCCAGTGCCAGCAGATGCCCTTATAGGGGTGGTCCCAGGAGACCGCCACTTCTAAGGCCCTTCAGCCTGCTTCTACTTAGGATATTAGCATATCTAAAAGGCATCTGTTGACTGGCAGGTGGGAATTGTGTGCACTGGTGATGGTGTTTACTTTTTGTCTCAGGCTCAATTGTTGGCCCTTGGCCTCTTTTTTATTCTTGACCTGTCCTTTATATGCTTTAATTGCCTCCTCTGTGAAAGATTAAATAAACACATTGGAATGTTGAGTGAAGACTGAAGTTTCAGTATCAGTGTAATCCGCTACATATTCACATGATGGACTTTGGCATGACAGGYTTGAAGGAGATGCCAAAACTGTCTTTTATATCAAAGGTGATTAATTTTGAGTGAGATGTGTAAAGAAGGATGAAGATTGTCATTTAACTGGATGAATGTATTACCTAACTTGGCTTTCTATACCTAAACTGCTTCCTAAGTACTTGAGAAGTGTTATAACTACATACCTGTAGTGTATACACAGTGAATGTTCATACAGCTCTGTGTGCACGTGCCCATGTGGACATTTGTACATGCAAATCTGTGCTTTTCAAATGGATCTTTCTTGTGTGGAGACAGAAAGCAGATTAGTGGTTGTCTGAGGCTAGGAGATGGGAACAGGGATTAATTTAACGGGCACAAAGGATCTTATTGGGATAATGAAGATGTTCTGAAAGTGGATTATGGTGATAGTCACACAACATGGTAAATTTACTAAAAGCCATTGCTGAATTGAATGCTTAAAATGGGTGAATATTGTGGCATGTAGATTATACCTCAACAAAGCTGTTAAAAATTGATATTCTGTATTGGGGTCTCTTTAGATTCTAAGTCACATATAACACAACAAATCTTATCACCTCAGATCTTTACCTGCTCTTTTCCCCCTGAAGTGTATTGATTTCAGTCACAAAGAAGCTGGACCTTCAGATTACAGGACCAGATAAAAATCCCAGTGCCCGGAGAGGTAAAAGTCTGCCTTGACCCCTATTGGCAAGGAACAAGGGAGCTGCCCACTGCCAGATGAGAAGGTGACATCAGATGACCTGTGGGGGCAGTAAGGGCACGCGATTCCAACCAGGTTCCTGAAGGCAGTTGGCACCATGTTTCAGTTGCTGCTGCAAGTGTCAAAAAAATAAAGATAAATAAACAGCCTGATGTCTGGCTATAAAGTGATGGCATTTTCCTCTTCTTTGCAGGTTGTGTTGGTCTTTGCTCTCAGCATTGGTGCACTTGTGATATACTTCATAGATTCGTCAAAGTGAGTATTCAAATACGTTGTTCCTGCCCTCTCTTTCTAAAACAACCATGACCCTGTACACTGATGAATTTATTTCCCTTAACACCAACCCCTGCAAGAACCTCCCRAGTACGGAAGACGTTTGGAGGAAGGCAGGGCTCTTCTGTGCTGATTTCCTAAGTGGGAAAGAAAGCTCTCAGAAGAAGGCTGCCTGGATTCAGCTGGCATGGGAGGGAGGGGCCTCCCATGGGGTCAAGCCTTCTTGCTGGGTATTATTTATTTTAAATAGCTATTTCCTCATAAAGTATTTGTGCTGAAGATGTCAAGAGGTTAAGAGGGCTTTGATGGGCAATTGCAACCTCTGGGAGGGTGACAGTTCCAGCAGGTGAGCGTCTGAAGCTATTCTTGCCATGGTTGTAGGAGCCTTTTCTCATTTGGGTTTCCTGTGCTTTGATCCTGTTGGAGGGCAGATTAGAAAGCAAGGTGTTATTCTTTCACCAGCCAACCCAACATTTAGCTGAAGCATCATATGCTGGTGCTTCTTGAATTGTGAAAGTAAGGGACATGGGACAAAAGGATTCAAGATGACTCCTGGAAGTGGAGGTGACCAGGGCTATCTGAGAACTACTGCAGGGGGCACTCTTGCATACCTCTGGGTACCTACTGAGGGAACTGGTGCTCCAGGGTGACCTGGGTCCCAGATGGCGAGCACCCTCCAGAGGCTGAAGAGAGCACCTGCTGGAGTTGCCAGGTGACCACTACACCCTCTCTGGTCCCCTGGATGCATCATTTGTTCCAGTTTTTCTAGTGCCGTCTTGAAACTGAGAAGTGAGCAGAGACGGAGTCAGTCTTGTTTTTCTGTTGCAATGGGAACTTGACAACTCTGGCCAAGGGACAGTGACCTTGAGCTTCTCTTGCCCTCGCTATCTGTGGTGAGAGTGCTTTTAACACTTTTAACTCCATTCCTCATGCTGTTGGAAACTAGACTTTGATTCTAGGAAACCTGCCTCTTTTGTCTGTTGGTTTGGACTTGCTGTGCCTGAATACTGAGCTCCGTGCTCATTTTTTCTGAGACTCTGGATGGTGGTGATTTCATGCACACCTAAACTCTAAATGTCTCAGAGCATTCTGGTCACCAGTCAGATGATTTTTKTGCATTGGGGTGCAGAGGCCAAAAAGTCATGTTAGGGAAAATAAAGAAGACATCTCCTCTGATCATCTGTCCCTGGGAGTCAGCCATGGCTAAGACTGTTGAGTGCCTCAGCCAGTCCTYACATCCAAGACCTGCTTCCCTCACTCTCTTGAATGGAGGGACCTTTTACAATCCTCAGGGGATGAGGATGCATACTTGTKCCATCAAAAATCTATAGCCAAGAATGGAAGCGTGTTTTTAAATTTGGAAGATTCCAATTGGCATGTCATGGAAGGTAAGCCCTCTTTGAATATTTACATTTAGTGTTTCTGGACCCTATTGGAATTCAACTGGAGTTCTAAATCCCTTGGTCTTATTTCTCCTATCTCTCCCAGGGGTGTTCTCATAGGTTGTGGGTCCCATGCTGGGGAAAGAGAGAGCACACCTTACGTAAAGGTGAGTGTGGTGCCCTGTTGGAAGGAYAGATACCTCAGCTGCACCTTCCCTCCCTTTTTACTCCTCTGTAATACTTGGAAATAAAATGCTCTTTGTTGGATGGATCTGGATGGTGTCCTTTTTTTCTAGTGTCTACTAGGAGACAGTCTTTGGCTCTCTGGGTCTGGTGTTCTCTCCTGCATGGAAGAAGATAGAAAAGGATGAAATTCTCCAAGGCAGACCCTTTCTTCTAAATGCTCTGCCTGCCTCCGTGTCCTTTGGAATTAATTCTGACACTGCAGAGCCTTGTGGAAGCTGGCATTGGAATCCCTCTCTGATTCTTTGATGGACTTGCAAGGAGTCTCTACCAAAGCTGGTCTTAGAGATGAAACTGTCCTTGGAGACTGCCCTGGCCTCATCCTAGCTTTAGCCCATCTCTCTTCTGTATCATTAAATTGTGTGGTTTATCCTAGCAAGACTTTGTTTATAAAAAAAAAAAAAAAGACTTTGTGGCTCTTTGTGTAGCCCAATCTACTTTTCATTCACCTGACTTCTTTTGGTCCTAAGACCATATTCCAAGATTTTGACCCATGAGAGACCCCATCATCTATCAGCACAAGAGAGTCTTTCATCTTCTTGGGGAGAGTTGGAAAGTAAGCTCAGCTTAAGCAAGGGGGAGATCAGAGTAGAATCTATAAAGTTAACCTTTATGATAAGCCAATGAATTCCCAGGAATAAAACGAAATGAAACCTATTGAACAAACTACAATCAAGCTTAGTGAACAAGACAAAATGAAAGTTTTTCCACATACAAGCAAGATGCAAATGGAAAGAGGTTAAGAAAATAGAATAGTCATTCTTAAAGTCTATCCTTTTCATTCAAAACTATTACTAGCTGAACAGTCATGGTTTGGCTGGCCTTCTGGACATCTTGCAAAGTAGCTTAGAACTTCTCTCGGAAATTATTCTGAGTCATCACCTTGGAAAAAAGTACCTAATATTCTTGAGATGAATTTTAGTTAGCATTTACTCCCTTCAAATAAATCTTGAGTGAGCCTAATTAATTAGACTGACATTGTCCATGAAATGGCTTGTCTCACTGTATTTTAACCAGACCTAGCCCCACTAAAACTGTTAGGAACAGCACAAGTTCAAGATCTGAGACTCTGCACCTTGTCTTTTGAGATGTGCAAAGAAAGCAGGTAAATATATAAAGAAGGCTCTGATGGTCGACTCTGCCAGCTTAATCTCAGAGTAGGCCACATCCAATTATACTCCAGACACACTAGCCAAGTGGTTTAATCTACCTCTGAGCATCAGCAGATAGATGAGGGAGTTCAGATAAATTTCTAAATAGCAGCTTTATGATCTTTTTAACCTTTCAAAGTGCATTTTACTATTAAGGATTAGAAGATAGGTTGTTCATAAAACCATCTTTTCCTATGCATCTTTCTTTTGAGTTATTAGGCCAGGATAGATAGATCTCTGAGTTGGTCTTTTTCATTCAAGGGTTCGAGAAGTAGTTCTTTGGGTCTTAATTTTCCTGGAAGGATCACCAGGGAAGATCATTCTTGTGGCCTCCAGTGGTTATTATTTACTTGAGATAGAGTGCCTTTGAGCATCTAGAGTTGAAAGCCAAGGAGAATTATATTAAACTGTGTTAAAAGTAGGCTTCATCATCCCAGTGGTAGACTCTCTGGAAAGACCCAAGCAGTGGGAGGTGATCTTGCAGGTCTTTGGAAACACATAAATGTCAGTGCCTTCATAATTGCATGAAGCTCATGATACTCACCCCTCCCAAATATCTCTTCTGATTAGCCATCCAAGGGGAACTTTATTCTTTTAAAAAGGCTTCTTACACAATTTATGTCCCATGTTGTCACTTCAGCTCCTAATTCTTTTTTTTTTTTTTTAACTGACAATTGAATTCAGGGCTTTGAGCGTGCTAGACAAGCACTTTACCACTGAGCTACATCTGTAGCTCCCCTAGCTCCCTATTCTGATGTCTCCCAATGCCGGAGACCTTTCCCAAATAGGAAAGTTTTTTTTTTTTTTTTTAAAGTTATACAACCAAGTCGAGAGTTTCCTTTGATGGCCTATGAATGCTAATGTCAGTCACTGTTACTGGTTCCCTTTGAGACAAGAACATTAATTCTTATTTAATAGATAAGGGATGGAGGGAAGAAAAGAAAGACCTGTGGATATCAGCATGAGAGCAGGATTCATGGGTTGCATAATCCAGTGGTCCTATTATTTCCAGAATTTCAAGAAAAAGTTGGAAGAGACAGCAGCTCAGAGCTCTGGGTATCTGCATTTTTTTCCCAGAGGCATTCTGGGAAAGAATGACTCACACATGTGCAGATTTTCATTCCTTTGATTCATGTTTGAACACTGCTACTTCTTATGCCTTGGTTACGTGGATTATGAATATTTAATGCTGCATATGCCGAAAAATGAAGGTCAAGTCCTGCTCACTGGCGACTTCAAGGCAGGCTCTTGTCTCTGAAAGACAAACCACTTGCTGTGAGCAGAGTAAAACTGAAAGGTTATACATTGTTAAAATTTTCCTTAATGACTTTATCTGCTCCAAAATGGCTGGTACCCAGTATGGGCACCTGCTGATTTTGCCAGTCTTTGCTCTTGGCTTCTGGTCTCAGCACTGTTGTTTTGGGGATATGGACATTAGGGAGGAGGAAGGAATCAGCACTGATTTTGTAGAGCTTCTAATCCAAGAACTGGATTGCCAAGGTAACAGTGGTGTTACAACCGGAAAATGGTCTCTCCCCAGTTTGTTTAAATTTTGCTTTGGTATTCGTTGGTTCGTTCATTCATTCATTTATTTTGTACTCATTCATTCATGTTGTATTTATTAATTTATTTGAAGCATTTTCAATGTCATAATGCTGAATATTGTCCAGGTGACAAAATCTTTTATGGTTAGATTTGGTTATGGAGAACCATCTTGAAAGTGGTGACAGAAATTGATCAGATTTCTGTTGTCTCTGAAAATAAAACTGGTGTCACTAGTTCAGTGAGGATACTCAGAGCTCTAGTGGAACATGTTAGTCACTCAACAGCTTTACCACCCATCTCCACATGGCCTGGCCTCTCATTCCTTGGCCAAAAATTCTCTTTCAAAGGGGTAGGAGAGGGCAAATGGGTGGAGGGAGCTCACACTGACTGATGGTGTGTTATATGTGAGCTACTGTGCAAGACACTTTAAAATAAAATAAATAGCACCTGCAATCTCATCGAATTCTCCTAATAGCCTCCTAAGGTAAGAATTACTGTCCCCACTTTATAGGTGAGGAGGAAAAGCTGCAAAATTTGCCCCAAACCATGTGTCTAATGAGTAGTGGAGCTGGGATCTGACTCAGTGTGTCTCACTCTCTTCTTCTTGTCAGGAAGTGAAATTCCAGATTGTGGAAGGAATCAAAGGGATTGAGTGTAATGT